GGGGGGGGAGGGAGAAGGAAGAAAAGAAAAAAGAAAAGAAAAAGTACTGTGATTCAGTACAATGAGAAAAGAAACACAATAATACACAAAAGCTTAACAGAACTAAAACCCATTTTTCACTGTTTAAAAGGGAATGAGATTCAAATCAACTCATACTCATCAACAGTTGGGTTAAAACTGCAACTGTATCTTAATAGCCCAGAATGCCAGTGCTCCAATCGGCTTGATGTCAAAAGAAAAGAGAGAAAGACTAAGATAAGAAGATGGAGGGAGCTGGAGAAGTACAATGATCTCTGCCTTCAAGCTGCAGAGAGTCTATATAGTGCCTGCAGCCCTCTCAAACCACTGTGTTTGTCCCCAAGCCCTTCCAAAACTCGCCATGAACTTATAACCTTTTAATGAGAGAGAAGAGCAAACTTATTCAGCAATCAGATTCCACACTGTTTAATTAAAGTAAATCCAACTTAAATTATTTAGGGTTTGTCCTGATTCTACTGAGCTTTGGGAAATGCTGCCCCTGACATACCACTCCAAGCCCACTACTAAGAAATCTGTGAGCCCCCCACCCCCGGTTTTTAGGAAGGTTCAGGAGGAGGGCAACCTCATTCTCTTTGAAGACAGGAAACTAAGATCCTTCACAGTCTCCAAAAGAAATTTAGTTTTAGGATTACAGCATTGCTCCAACCTATACCAAAAGGCATTTGAGATACAGGAGTACAAACTTAGCAGGCCCACCATTTCTTCCCCTTTGTTAGACTGTGACTTGTGGCTTGATCAGTTCAAGTAAATCTTGATTACAGAGAATAAGAGTAAGACAGAGATTGTAGTTTCTCTTCTCGGTTTCTTATAGCCCTCTTTCTGACCCTTTTGAGGTCTCAAGGTGGCTTCTGGCAAGAGATAAAGCAATAAACTAACCGCTCTAACTCAGTTAAGATTAGAATTTGCAGGGTAATTGGAAAATGAGAAGCGATTTTCAGTTTGCCATTTGATGTAAAGGCTACAGTGAGAATCCTACCTCTTGAAGGCATTACTTAGCAGTTTAAATCGTCACTGTCTTTGAAGACTGTTATTCTCAATGTTCCCCACTGTGTGCAGTATTCTCATAGGAGCTTTGCTCCAGACCCTTTGGGACTTAATAGTTTCATTGTTTACAAGCAAACATTTTTAAAAGGAGTCCGATTTTTAGAACATATGCTGGGTTCATCCTCAGAGACAGAAAACATTTGTAAAATATTTAATTGGGAGAACTATCAAGACTACTTCAACCCAGAGTTCTCACTCAAGGCACAATTGACCAGGCTTAAATGATCCTATTTTGGACACATTAGGCAAAGACCCAGCTCTCTGGAAAAGGGTCTAATGCTGGGAAAGGTGGAAGGAAAGAGAAGAAGAGCATGACCAGCAGCAAGGGGGATGGACTCATTACAGTGGTGATGGGAGCACTGTTGAAAGACCTGAAGAGGCAGGTTGGAGATTGGAGAAGGTCTATCGTTGTGACAGCTAAGAGTCAACAATGACTTCATGGCACATAGTCAATCAATCCATGCAAACACCCAACTCCCTTGAGAAGTCTGAGCCAGGAAAAGGAGAAGAAAGGAGAAGAAGAGCAAGTGGGTGGGTTCAGTTACAATGGTGATGAGTGTGATGTTGGAAGACTTGAAGGACCAGGTTAGGGGCAGATCGTCATGGAGACTACCTATATGGTCACTAGGGATTGAAAACAATTTGATGGCACATAATCAGTCAATCAAGACTACTAACATTATCCCTCATAGTTGCATCTTGCCCTTTGTACAAGGAGTTCAAAGTGAGGTGCAACACTTTATCCATGTAGCAGGCCTGTGCATTAGGCTACTGTGAACCAAAAGCCAGGCTTAAGGTTGTCTTACAAACTTTATCAGTGACTGGAGATACAAACCCTGGTTCAAAAGCTGGACTGAGATGCGTATGGCATAGCAAGGACATACTGCCAAAGTGGTAGGATCCATTTGAGGAAGCAGGGGTGTCTGCAGGGAGGGGATTCAAAACAAAAATCAAGATGGTGGCCACGACCATCACAACAGATGTAAAAACGACAGGGCTTTTTCCATGGCTGGGGCCACCATCTTGAATTTTTGGATGCCTCCCTGTAGCCACCCCCATTTTCAGGAGTTTTCTGGATGAATTATATATTATTTTATGTATTAATTGTTTAAAGCGGCCCAGTAACCAAAGCTCTCTGGGCGATTTACAATATAACACATATATCATACACAAAAATCTGAGTAAAAACATATACGATAAAATCAAATAGAATTCAAAATAAAAACCCCATATAAAATAGCAGCAGCACCGTGATCATTCAGAAAGTGAGAATTAAAATCAAATTACAAGCCAATTAGAAAGCCTGGGGGGGATAGAAAATAAAATCCCTTCTCTTTTCAATTGGTGCTGAAATGATGCTAATATGGAGGCCAGGCGAGCCTCTCTGGGGAAGGAATTCCATCAGTGGGGTGCCACTACAGAAAAAGCTCTTTCCTTGTCCACCTTCACCTCCTCTGGAGGGCCTCATTAGATGATCTTAAAGTCTGAGTAGGTACATACAGGAGACCACACTCCAGATAACCTGGCCTAAGGCATTTAGGCCTTTAAAGGTCAAAAGCAGCTTTTGGAATTGGGTCGAGAGATGGACCGGCAGACAGTGCAGATGGTGAAAAACTGTCATGATATGCTTGTATCAGCCCATCCCAGGGAGCCATTTGGCCCCTCTATTTTGAACTAACGGAAGTTTCCAGACCATTTTCAAAGGCGGTCCCATATATAATGCATTGCCATAGTCCAACCAGGAAGTTACCAGAGTATGAATAATTGCTCCAAGGCTGTTTCTGACCAGATAAGGGCGCAGTTGGTAAATGAGTCAAAGCTGATAAAGGCACTCCATGCTTCTGCACGGCATCACCTAGCTGGACAGATGCACTACCCACAAAAAATCTGCAGGTCAAGATGCCTATTTTGGCCCTTTCAAACCCCCAGATGAAAGAAGAACTCCCTATTTTTGAAACCACCCACTCTGGCAGGCTGCGTGTGGTTCCTGTGGGGTATATTTTGTGTTCCAGCTACAAAACCATATTGGTCCATCATTCTAAATTCTCCTGGCCCACCTCATTGATTATCTGGCTGGCTTTCTCTTTCTCTCTCTTGTCAGCTAGGGATTTGTAATGCCAAAATTCCTGGTCTTGACATTTTATGTGTGAAAGGTAATATGCTTAGTTACTCAATTATGGCTTGAAGCTACTCTATTTGGTGGCTCTCCCAAAGTGAAAAACCTGGTGCTGTGTTTAGAGCAAGAGGAATTTTCCCCTCTACTGCAGATAGTCTCAAATAATTATAGCAAAATGAAATACTGTATAAGAAGGGAGAGGAAGAGAGGGAGAGAGAGAGATCACATTGTTATCATATAGGTGAATGCCATATTTAGTATGGAAGAGGTACCTTTAGGGAGGTAGAAAGGACTGAAAAGACACAAATTTAAAGCCTCACCATTATGCTGAAGCTAAAGATATAAAGGGCCAGTCAAAAATCAAATTGATAGTCTTACAAAATGCTTTTCTTATCCCTTTTCTTACTTAAAGTAGATTGTATCTCCCCATAGTAAAGCCTAGACCTAGCAACTTCAACTTGTGCGAAGGGTTTTGCTTGCCCTCTAAATCGCCCCAAGTCTGCCCAAGAAAATACAGCATCCTCTTCTTTAAAATGTCCTCATAACATCCCTCGGATCTTTGAATGATGCAGGATTCTCCAAATGTGCTTTGAAATTTCATCTCAGCTGCTTTAAGTTGAACCAAGCTGTTGATATACATTGAGTGAAGTTAACCTTTGTCACCGAATTAAAACATTGATATTGAGCAGTTGTTAAGAGGGACAAATTTTTTATCCAGTTGAATCCTGAATCGCTCCTTCAGTGTTTTCTGAACTTCTTCATCAGTAAGGATAGCGTGTTCTACTAGATCCATGTTGTCCTTATAATTATATTTGGTTTCAGTCAGCACCCACCCAATCAAAGCTAGAAACCCATCGGTAGTCGGGAGACTACAGATGGATTTCTTTAAAAACATAGAACTTGGATCAGTTTGGAGTTTTAT